TTATCATTTTACTAATACGGATTTTAAATAGCTGTAATTTTAATAATTAAACTATATTAAATTCGTATAATAGAGAGTTTTTAAATTAAAAATTCGACATCTATTTCGAAAGAAATAAGTGATGTATTTGTTTCAAAATAAATGATTTTATATTATGTGTAACTTATTTATTCAATAAAGCTTTTAACTTCTACTTATTTTGAAAGTAAGTTAATATTGAAACCCCCTAATATGTGTTTATTTATTTTATTCATATACTATGTGTATTTTGTTTAAAATATTTATTTCACTTGTACTATATTAAGAATATTTATTTCACTATTACAAAATATATGAACTCTAATTATATAGTACTCTTAATAAATTCTTTAAACACGACGTTATAGGAAAATTTAATGATTACGTGACACAATGCTTTATTAAAACAAGTATGTAGTATGTTAATGTTAGTTAATAAATTTCTATATACTATATATCAATCAGAAAGTTTAAGTCATTTATGCACTTTATTTTTTGTTTACAATATAATTTAAATTTTGCATATGCACAACTGCCTTAGATATAACCATTACCAATTTTTTAGATACTGTATGCCAATAAAAATATGTAAAAAAAATTAGAGCTTGAATAATGAATTTAATAGTAAAATCCGTTAGATATTCGTTAAATTTAAAAAAAAGTCATGTACAGTACATATATGAGTGGAGATAAAAAAATTTATTAACTAATACCAAAATATTTGTTTTAAAAATTATAGTATTATATAAGCAAATTACATATTATCATTATACTAATACGGATTTAAAATAGTATATTAATTATTAAAATTACAGCTATTTTCATAAATTCTGGGACACCTAAAAAAAAATTGATCAATAATTATTCGGCTGAATTCGATCTGTTAATCTCAGTGTTATATAGTATACAAATTACAGTAATATGTACTATACTACTATAAACTTGGTGAAGTTCAAATATTTGAATTGAAACTCTATATACCCTATATACTATCGAATTCAGCTGAATGATTATCATATAACTCTGATAATCTCTTTATTAATAAAATTATTATTGAAAGCAATTTTTTGACAAAACTAACTCATTCTATCACTGCTATAATTATATACTAGATATTTTTCTGACAAGAAAATTATCTGTTAAAATATCTTATTACAGCTATTTTCATTATTCTTGAGACACCTAGTTACAAATTAGTGAGTAATATTGATATTAGAGTTCTGCAAGTGCCATGCCATAGTGCTATTAAAAATAGTACTAGACATGAAGGCACTATGTTTTAATAGCATTATGCTTAGTACTTGCAAAACTCTAATTGATATTATAAAATATAGTTTGGAACTAGTTTTAATATATGGGGCCTCCTATAGCAAAAAGTAGTATTAGACCAACTAATCAGATTTTGAGATTTTGTATCAGTTATTTGCTTATAATACTTGTCTTTTTAGAAATATTTTTTAATGATTTATGTGACTTTTAACAAATCATATTGTTGCACCATTAAAAGATTTTTACTCTAAATGTGAAGATTAAAATGGATCTATTATAATTACTTCTGAAATTTTAGAATAAATACAAGTTTATTTAGAACGAGTTAAAAAAAAAAACTTTATTACTAATAAATTTGTAATTCTATATTAATTTCTCAAAACAGATAAAATACAAAAATAAAATGAGTTGATCATAAATTTTCTTTATGAGAAAAAAAGAAAATATTACTTTTTGATTAGAAGCTTTGTAATTTAGATATTAAACTTATCATTATTATTATAATGTAATTTATGTAACAATTACAATTAGTACATTTTTTTCAACATCTAATAATAATAATAAATTGCAATGTATATAATTATTATGAAAATAATGATTCTCTGTTCATTCTTCACACATATAACAATAATCATCTGCTATAATCAGTATTAGAGTAGGGTCAGGCTGGGCTTGACTAGACCCAAAATCAAACCCAAAAAATATTTTCAAACCTAGGTCTAGCCTACTAAAAAAAAATCTCAGAGTAATAAACCTAGACTAATTCTATTTTAGGATTAGGCCCGACCTAGCATAGTCCAGAGTATATAGTAGATTAGTTGTATAATTCAAATTCAGCAGATCAACCAAAATTTTGAGTCAGAATTTATCAGAGCTAGGTCAGTATTAGCAATAATACTAATTATCCAGCAAACTCTTATGATCATAGATTTATTTCTTGTTATTTTTTGGTTTGTTATGTCATAATTATATTTATTTGAATTAAAACTCAGTTAGCCAATCACAACTTGAAAATCATGATCATGAATTGCCAGATAACACAAAAATTGAGTCACACATTGATAACGATAAAGGAAATTGCTACAGGTACAGCAACACGTCACTTATCGCCCTTATCGGCATAGCAATAATTAGACATAAGATTTCTTGATTAGAAGTCAGTTAATATCTAAATATTTTATTATGTAAAAGCGATTTATGCATTTAATAAAAGTTGTAGAGATTATTTATCCGATTCCAACAATACTAAAAATAATAAAATTTCCTGATTGGATTGTGAGATATAAGCAGTTAAATCTTTACAATTATGTAAATTTTGATATGAACGCAAAAATAAAAGAGGACTTTACATATAAGTGCCCGAAAAGTAAAAATAATTACAAATAAGTGCTCGAACTAAAAATAATTACATATAAATGTCTGATATTTAAAAAATATTACATATAGGGGTTCAAGAATGTACCGTGACTCAAGCTTGTGGCTTGATTGTTATTAATTAAGTATGTTGAATAAGAAATGTAAGCATAGCATAAGAAATGTAATCATCAATTGTAAATTAGTACGTAATTTTAAATCATTAATAAGCATTGCATAGGAAATATAATCATCGATTGTAAATTAATATGTAATTATAAATGAGAGAAAAAATGAGCTTTTCATCTTTTTTCTTTTTTAATAAATTTTATTCGCTTTGTTAATATTACCTATTTTATAACAAACCTAATCTATAACAATAATGTTAATTACAACACTGCAAATCGGTATGAAATTTCCTGATATGGAAAGCGTTCACTCAGCTCTAGAGAACTACTCAGTTGAAACATCTTTGCCTTATAAGTTTAGAACTAATAACTCCAACAAACTACTTGTTGTTTGTCTCTTATATGAAGTGGATGAAGCCAGTACTTGTTCTTTTATAGTCTCTGCTCACAAATGTAAAGATGGTTATATTCATATTATAAGATTAATTCAACATGATCAAAATTGCTCAACCTTTTCAGAAACATTTAAAGTACGTGAGTCATATCTTACTAAGTTCACTGCACTATTAGTTGAGGATATAACAGCATTTAAACCTTGTGATATTGTGAATCATCTTTGCACAGAAGTGGGTGCTGAGGCATCATATATGAAAGCTTGGAGAAGTCAAGCTATTAATAAAAAACATAGTGCAGAAGAAATAGAAAAGAGTTACCAACATATAAATTCACTACTTAACAATCTGCTAATTGAGAATTCAGAAAGTGTTACTACATTTAAGGTAAATGGTGAAAACTGATTTACTCATGCATTTCTATGCTTATGGCTGTGGATTAAAGCAGCTAAACATTGCTGGCCTGTATTTACATTTGATACTTATCACTCAAAGTCAAGTTACAAAGATGTGTATTTTAGTGTAAGTATGATTAATAGTAAGAACAGGCTTGTTCCTATAGCATTCGCTATTTGTTCTGTTAAAAATTCTAATAACTGGACATGGTTTTGTGAGCATTTGCATATGACTTTTCCATTTATGAATATGATTAAGACTATAATTATAAGTGATCGTAAAAAGGTATATTAGTATTTTAATATTCAATACTTCGATATAATAATATTACTGTTATAGTAATTATCAATATTTGTAATTATTTACATATAGGGTATTTCAGATGCCATACAAACAAAACTCCCTAATGCTTTTCATGTATATTGTGTGTAGCACATCGAAAAAAATGTTAATACAAAATTTAAAACAAAGCTTGGAGGTAAAATCTGGGCTGTGGCTAAAGCATTACATGTAGAAGAATTTAACAAAATAATAGAAGAAATTTCTGATTTACATGAGGAGGCATCTATTTATCTTAGTAAAATACCTTCTGCAAAATGGACTCTTAGCAAATATTCTTGAAGTAAATTCAGCCATCTTACTTCTAATATATCTAAATCTTTAAATTCTTGGTTATGTGATGAACGTCTTGTAGAACTATTTGATGCAATTATTTTATTTGTATGCAGGGTCAATATGCTTTATTACAATCATCACACAACATATTCTTCAATCTAAGCAATGTTGCTATCTTCAACTACTCAGCAACTTCAATCTATTATTAACAAATGCCATAGCAGAATAGTGTATCAAGTCAATGAGTCTGTTTTTGAGGTTAAGAACAATAATAGTAATTTTCATATTGTGAATCTTACCTTATTAACTTGCACCTGTAAACAATTTCAAGAGTATAGGCTTCCCTGTGTACACACATGTGTAGCTATTCTTAAGGCATGCAAACAGCCTTCACAATTTGTTCATTCTACATATCACATCACAACTCTTCAAAATGTTTATAAAGAGTCTGTTCAACTTGTTGATATAAAAACGTGTTTTTTTGATAACAAAACATTGTTACCAGTCATGATCAAACAAGCAGGATGACCACAAAAATTTATTTATGTTGCTATAGAGAGACAGCACTAGAAGACCAACTTATCTGTAGTAAATGTGGTGAAAAAGGGCATAATGTACGTACTTGTAGTCGAAGGCATACATTAAAAAAATAAAAATTAGTTCCTTAGTTTGAGACAACATATATAGATACTTAATTTTTATATCTAATATAAAGTTTAAATTTTTTAATAAATATTATTGCGAAAATAATTATAACCAATGCTTTATTTATCCTTTATCCTCTTATAATGAATACATTAAGCAATTTGATAATTTTAGTTCACTACTTTTGTAGCGCAGTAGTCACGTTTTTTCAACTATCGTTAATTTAGGCCCCTATATGTAATATTTTTTAAATATCAGGCACTTATATGTAATTATTTTTAGTCCGGGCACTTATTTGTAATTATTTTTACTTTCCGGGCACCTATATGTAAATTCCCCTAAATCTTTCCCATTCACGAAAGACTATACTGCAACTTTCAATTGGATGCGAATCATCCAACCACCATCATTCTACTGATTTATCGGTCTGGTTATACAACTGTGAATCTGCAGGTTCTACCTAATATCAATGCGTTATATATATATATATATTTTTAATTAAATAAGTGTTGCCAAAGGAAAACCTACAACTTATCGTATTAATAAGACAAGTTTACTTAGTGATAACTTAAATATTTATTTACAGGTTTTCTCTTGGCAGCACTCAAATATACATTCTTATGAGAATGCAAACTCGGGTGGTTACAGCATAGAGGAGTTTATTTTATCGTTCTTGGTTATTTGATGTCGTAAGTTGAGTGATTGCTTTGAATACTCCATTAGCGTAAAGTTTTTCAAGCCAGGTATACAGTAGGAATATTTTATTTGCGCAATGCACTAAAAATATTTTTTTCCAAAAGAACGCCCTAAATGTGAACTATCCAATATTGTTTAACTGACATGAAAGTTAATTGCAAGATTCGGAACATACTGCTTATTATATTGTTGAACTCGGAAATTCCTCGTCAGAGGCGTGACTAAGGTGATTTGGGGAATTATGTGATAATTATATTAGGATCGGAATGTGATGTTTATTAGATGATAATTAATTTCTTCACTTTTTATAACTTTTGACCAAGTGTTTGTTAAAAATGACAAAATACATAAATTAATGATAAAATGAAAAGACGCAACGGTGTAGGGACGATTAGTTAATCATACTAATGTCTTTTTTCATTCGTAGCATGTAACAAAATGCAGCATCCCGATTTGCTTATGTGATGAGATGGATTTGGAATGTCAAAATTAGTGTTTCGATTCGTAATCCGATCATTCGGATAGATCCGACAATTCGAATTATCCTTATCCTTTAATTTTAAACGGATAGATCCGTTATTTGTAAGTATAAACTTCATTGTAATTATTTCTGATACTCGTCTGTTTAATTCTTAGAATATTTTATATCACGTGTTTTAATTGACTTTTATAACTATATTTATACCTAATCATTAGTAGTTGCATGATGTAGCACGCTAAAACTAGGAATAGAATATAAATATGAAGCAATTTAATTAGCGAGGATAAGATCAAACAAATTTCAAAAAACGGCAGTTTAAACCCACCTTGGAGTATTAGTAAAAAATTTTAGGAAGGCAATTTTACCTATAGCTGATAAACTCTAACTCTCCAATACTAATTTAAACTTGTCCTGATCCTAAAAGTCATTAAATTGAAATTCGCCAATCTCCAATTAAGTTAAACAGCATAAATAAAATTTAATTTTCATGGTGAATCCGAATTTATTCAGATTCGAATTATAAACCAGATAAGTGAAAAAGGACCCGAATAGCCTCTAACGAATAGATCGAAACACTAGTCTATATCATTCCCCGACATTTTTTCTTAGACAATTTCACCGACATCATGAGAGTGACGATTAATATTAAAAAATTTAAACTTTACATTGGATATAAAAATTAAGCGTCTATGCATGTTGTCTCAAACTAAGGAACTAATTTTTATTTTTTTAATGTATGCCTTCGACTACAAGTACGTACGTTATGCCCTTTTTCGCCACATTTACCACAGGTAAGTTGGTCTTCTGGTGCTGTCTCTCCACGGCTACGTAAATGAATTTTTCGTGGTCGTCCTGCTTGTTTGATCATGGCTGGTGGCAACGTTTTGTTATCAAAAAAACACGTTTCCACATCAACAGGTTGAACAGACTCTTTATAAATATTTTGAAGAGTTGTGATGTGATATGTAGAATGAACAAATTGTGAAGGCTGTTTGCATGCCTTAAGAATAGCTGCACATGCGTGTACACAGAGAAGCCCATACTCTTGAAATTGTTTACAGGTGCAAGTTAATAAGGTAAGATCCACAATACGAAAACTACCGTTATTGCTCTTAACCTCAAAAACAGACTCATTGACTTGATACACTATTCTGCTACGGCATTTGTTGATAATAGATTGAAGTTGCTGAGTAGTTGAAGATGGCAACATTGCTTGGATTGAAGAATATGTTGTGCGACGATTGTAATAAAGCATATTGACCCTGCGTACAAATAAAATGATTGCGTCGAATGGTTCTACAAGACGTTCATCACATAACCAAGAATTTAAAGACTCAGATGTATTAGAAGTAAGATGGCCGAATCTACTTCGAGGACATTTGCTAAGGGTCCATGTTGCGGAAGGTATTTCACTAAGATAAATAGATGCCTCCTCATGTAAATCAGAAATTTCTTCCATTATTTTGTCAAATTCTTCTACATGTAATGCTTTAGCCGCAGCCCAGATTTTACCTCCAAGCTTTGTTTTGAATTTTGTGTTAACATTTTTTTCGATGTGCCACACACAATATGCATGAAAAGCATTAGAGAGTTTTGTTTGTATGGCATCTGAAATACCCTATATGTAAATAATTACAAATATTGATAATTACCATAATAGTAATATTATTATATCGAAGTATTGAATATTAAAATACTAATATACCTTTTCACGATCACTTATAATTATAGTCTTAATCGTATTCATTAATGGAAGAGCCATACGCAAATGCTCACAAAACCACGTCCAGTTATCAGAATTTTCAACAGAACAAATAGCGAATGCTATAGAAACAAGCTTGCCCTCACCATCAATCGCACTTACACTAAAATACACACCCTTGTAACTTGACTTTGAGTGACAAGCATCAAATGTAAATACAGGCCGGCAATGTTCAGCTGCTTTAATCCATGGCCATAAGCATAGAAATGCACGAGTAAATCGGTTTTCACCATCTACCTCAAATGTAGTAACACTTTCTGGATTCTCAATCAGCAGATTGTCAAGTAGTGAATTTATACGTTGGTAACTCTTTTCTATTTCTTCTGCACCACGTTTTTTATTAATAGCTCGACTTCTCCAAGCTTTCATATATGATGCCTCAGCACCCACTTCTGTGCGAAGACGATTCACAATATCACGAGATTTAAGTGCTGTTATATCCTCAACCAATGGTGCAGTGAACTTAGTAAGATATGACCCATGTACTTTAAATGTTTCTGAAAAGGTTGGGCAATTTTGATCATGTTGAATTAATCTTATAATATGAATATAACCATCTTTACGTTTGTTGGCAGAGACCGTAAAAGAACAAGTGCTGGCTTCATCCACTTCATACAAGGGACAAACAACAAGTAGTTTGTTGGAGTTATTAGTTCTAAACTTATAAGGCGAAGATGTTTCAACCGAGTAGTTTTCTAGAGCTGAGCGAACGCTTTCCATATCAGGAAATTTCATACCGATTTGCAGTGTTGTAATTGACATTATTGTTATAGATTAGGTTTGTTATAAAATAGGTAATATTAACAAAGCAAATGAAATTTATTAAAAAAGAAAAAAGACGAAAAGCTCATTTTTTCTCTCATTTATAATTACATATTAATTTACAATCGATGATTACATTTCCTATGCAATGCTTATTAATGATTTAAAATTACGTACTAATTTACAATCGATAATTACATTTCTTATGCTATGCTTACATTTCTTATTCAACGTACTTAATTAATGATGATCAAGCCACAGGCTTGAGTCACGGTACGTTCTTGGACCCCTATATGTAATATTTTTTAAATATCAGGCACTTATATGTAATTATTTTTAGTCTGGGCACTTATTTGTAATTATTTTTACTTTCCGGGCACCTATATGTAAATTCCCTAAAAATAAAATTGTTACTAATCTAAAAGCATTAAGCTTATTAACAAAAAAAAACTTGTCTCAAGTTATAAAAACTTTGTTAAGTAATAATATAATAAAAAAAACAGAATATATAAAGAAACTAAAAAAAGTAATCAAATACTCTATAACCTAAGTTAGGCTTAAAAATTTTAAGTTATACAACTTATAACCTATTTCAAATAATTCTCTTTCTAATGTACAATCTATTTTTAGAATCTAAGATCTGTAATACTAAGGTTACATAATGAACTAAACAATAAACAAAGTACATAACTTTGTTTACTACATGAGATCACATATCTACAGAGTATTTTTAAAAATAAATAAAATAAACAATATCAATCTTTTGTAAAGAAAAACCTAGATTCCTTACTTTTTGTCAAAAAAAATAGAAAACTAGAGAGAAAAAACTTGTGATATATTCTTGTTTTTAAAGGTTTAAAAGAGTGTGTAAACAAAATAATTTATTATTTCTTTTTTTAAAACTTTATTTACTAACTTTATTAACAAAGAGCTTTTTTTGATACTTTACTAAAATTTTTGCTAGTTATCTTATAATGTCACTTTTAGCTTATATATTAAATATACAAAGGAGTTTTTAGTAGTAAGCTTAGTTAATCTTTGTAAAAACTATTGTATGTAAAAAAAACTTCTTCATTTTCTCTAATAAATTTTTGTTTTTTGTTTTTTTTGAATTTTTGAAAAAAAGAATCGTTAGAAAAAATTAAAAAAATTTTGTAATATATACAAGTATATTTTTTTAAAATATAATAATAGTTTAAAATTTTACTATAAAAGATAAATTAATTTGTTTATATTTTATAAAAATTTTATTAAAAGTGAGTTGTAATTTAAAAAAGTTTTATTAGTAACATATATTAATTTTATATAAAAATTTTAAAAAACTATATAAAACTATATAAAAATAATCTACATACCTCATACCTTTAATAAATATATTTAGAGTTTTAACTCTTATTAATATTTATATAACTCTAGATTCTAGCTATAGTTCTCTACTAATTTATTAAAATATTTTTTTTAGTATTTAGCTAGTTAATTAATTACCTTTTTATCTAGTAATCTCAAAAACTTTTATTTTTATTAGATGAAATCTTTTTTTAAATCAGATATTAACTAGTATAATCTATAAAATATTTATATTACTTTACTAACTTAATATTTTTACTATACAAATTCTCTGTTTATAAATTTATTAAGATTTATTTTTATAATAATTAATGATATACTTCTAATATTAGATTAATTTAATATAACTTAATTTATAGAATTATAATCTCAAAAACAGATAAAAGTTATTATAACAGAGTTACAAGATCTAAAAAATTATTCAAATTTATTAGTAGTAGAATTTAATCTTTAAATTTATTATATAGTAGTTTAGTAATCTAACTACTATACTAAGATTATTAAACTTTATACTTTTTATTAATATTTAATTTTAGTTATATTCTTTATATAGAAATTCTAATTTTTATATCTTTTCTAGTCATTTTTTCTTTATCTAATAGTATAATATTTATAGTTATATTGAATGATCTTAGTGTAATAGTTAGATTACTAGAATATTATACAAGAAATCTGAAGTTCAAATCTTACTATCAACAAATTTGAATAATTATCTAGATTTTTATATTTAACTTATAGTAAACTCTGTTTATTTTTGAGATTATAACTTTATAAATTATGTTATACTAATATTATTTAGATATTAGAAGTAAATATAATATTATATAAATAAATCTTAATAGAATCTTTAAGCAAAGGATCTAATACTTAATCTAATAAGATATATTGCTAAGAAAGATGTAGATTAAGATAGATATAAGTAAGTCTGTTCTATAAGAAAAATTAATAATACTAATTTAGTTTAGTAGCTAATTAAATTTAAGAGAATCTGCTTTATAAAATATTCTAAAAAATTAAATACAGATACTAGTGAAGAGTTATAGTAAAAACTAGAATTATATAAATATTATAAGAATCTAAGCTAAATAAATTTATAAAATAGTATAAACTACTCTAGTAAGTATACTTCAAGGTTAATTAGTTTTGTAAATATTTATAATATATTGAGTATAATATAACTTAAGAAGATCTAAACTAAAGTTAATAAATAGATCTGTAATAAGCTAGTTAATTTAAGCAGTTAGATATTATAGTAACATTAGTTTGTAATAGTATAAGTTAGTTGAACAGATTGTTTAAATAAATAATATATAGATAGATTATAAGTATAGTGATATAATATAGTATTAATAAATAGTTTAACATCTATATAGTGAACTACTTAAATTAGATAATAACTAAAATTATATATATAGCTTGTCATATACTTTTTATATAATTACAAATTGTAAGAAATTACTTATATATGACTTTATATATTAAACTAATAAAATCTACTTAGCAATATAAGCTATCTTAATAATAATAATAAAATATTTATAGTTAAACTATATTTATATTTGTATATATCTTTACTATGAACTCTTTCCAACGATCTTTTTTTCTAAAAAATTTGAAAAAGCAAAAAACAAAAATTTTATTGAGGAAAATAAAGAAGTTTCTTTTACAATACAGCAGTTTTTACAAAGGTCAACTGCTTTCACTTGGGGACTTCTTTGTATATTTAACATGTAAGCTAAAAGCGATATTATACAAGATAACTAGCAGGTGGATTCCTTGTATAAAAAATTTTAGTAAAGAGACGAAAAAAAACTCTTTGTTAACGAAGTTGGTAAAAGAAGACTTAAGAATAGGGGACAATAAATTATTTTGTCTACACACTTCTTTGGGTTTCAAAACAATAATATACTGCAAGCTTTTTCTCTTCTGGTCTTCCTTTTTTTTTAACAAAAAGTGGGATTTTGGTTTCCTCTCTACAAAAGATCAGTATTGTTTACTCTTTCTATTTTTAAAAATACTCTGTGAATATACAACCTTGTGTAGTAAACAAAGTTATATACTTTGTTTACTTGGTTAGTCTTTTACATGACCTCGATGCTACAAGTTCTAAATTTTAAGGATAGATTATACGTTAGAAAGAGAAATATTCAAGATGGGTTATAAGTTGCATAACTTAAAATTTTTAAGCCTGACTCAGGTTATAGAGTATCTGATTACCTTTTTCTTTTATTTTCTATTCCCTCTATTATGTTACTGCCTAACAAAGTTTTTACGACTTGGAGCAAGTTTTTCTTTGTTAGTAAGATTAGTGCTTTTAGATTAGTAACAATTTTTATTTTTTTCTATCTTGAGACTAGGTATTAACTACTTTTAGCTTAGTTTTAATTAGGTTAGAAGGGACCTAGGATCATGATGGGGCTTGAAGTTGCCTTCGCTAATCTGAGGATAATATCTTGTTTAAAGAGAGTTACTTTGGAGAGAAAAAGGACTTCTGCAGGCAGATCGCATTTAGGCACCATTTTGGCAGCTGGGTGAGTTTGGAATTGACATAAAAAAGGATCTTATTGTAGATTAGTTTTAAAACATATATAATTTGTATCTTATATATATTTTTTTTAAAAAAATACTTCTTTTTCAATAAATTTCGGGTATGATCGCTCAAGTTAGAAAAAAAAAAAAATTTGTATATATCTTTTGTTTTTAAAACAGAAAAGTTTCTAAAAGATTTTAAATTTTTAATCATAATTCTAATTTAGTTAATTTTTATAATAAGATTTAAACTAATAATCTTGTGATATAATTTAAAAATATAACTAATATACTATAGATCTAAAAATCTATAAATAATATTTAAAAGCTATTTATTAATAACAATTTTAAATTTAAAATTTTTTTAATTTAAACTTTATATATTATTTTTTATTTTAATATATTTTTTATTTAATATTTTTTAGAAAATTACTATTTTATACTTTTTATTTTTACTATTTATACTTTTAGTTAGCTACTTATAAAGTTAAGTTTTTAAATTTATTTTCTTTTTCTAAAAGGTTTTAGATTTAGGTTATAAGTTGCAAAATTCTAAACTAGTTTTAAAATTCTAAACTAATTTTAAAATCTCAAACTAATATCAAAATTCTAAACTAATATCTAAATTTCAAAATTTCAAACTAATATCTAAATCTTAAATCAATACTTAAATCTCAAATTAATACTGAAATTTTAAATTTCAAACCAATATCTAAATTCTAAAACAAATTATATAAATAATAACTACTATATGCTTATATCTAATAAATATATTTTTAGTACTCTAAATAAAGTTGTAGAATTTATTAAGATACATCTAATAGTAGTAGTAGTAATACTAATAAAACCAGTTTAATAATTCTTAAAATATTATTAAAAAATATTTTATTAACATATAAAATTTTTTAAAAAAATAAAAACTTTTATATTTTAATAAAATATTTTTTAATAATACCTTGAAAACTACTAGACCAATTTTACTAGTCTTATTACTATTAGAGTTTTGAAAGTATTTACTTAGTATAAAAAAGGTTTTAAATATAAGCATATAGTATTTACTCTACTATTTAACTTTATATATAAAATCATATAACTTTTCAGATGACTAATAAATTTAAAATTTAGTTTAGAAAGGTCTAGTAACTTAGTATAGTAGTTAGGTTGTCAGATCGCTATGCAATAAGTTTAAAGTTCAAATCCTACTATTGATGAATTTGAATAATTTTTCAGACCTTGTAATATGTTATAGTAAACTCTATTTGTTTCTGGAAGCATAAACCTGTAAATTGAGTTATACCAAATTAATTAGAACTTAGAAGTATAGCATAATGTTATATAAATAAATCTTGATAAGATATACAAGCAGAAGATCTGCATAGTAGAAATCTCAAATTAGTAAAGTAATATAGTCTTCTAACAAGACTACATTAGCTAAAGTCTGATCTGAGAAAAAAACTTGATTTAATAAAGGTAGAAGGTTTTGAGATTTCTGAGTAAAAGATAACTAAGACTAGCTAGATACTAGAAAAGAACTAGGTTGACTAACTAGTGGAGGACTACAGTAGAACCTGGGGTTGTATAAGTATCTATAAAGGTCTAAGCTAGGTGAATTTATAAAATGAGTATAGACTACTCTAGTAGATTTGCTTTAAGGTTAACTGACTTTGCAATACTAGCAATATGTCTAATATAATGTATTTTAAGAAGACCTAAGCTATTTTGAATAAATAAATTCATAATGAGCTAGTTGGCTTAAGTAGTTAGGTATTATAGTGATATTAGATTAAATCTGTATAGGTTAATGAACAGAGTATTTAAATAGATAACTCACAGATAGGTTACAGATATGATAAAATAGTATAGAACTAATCAGATAGCCTAATACCTGTATGACAAATTGCTTAAAATAGATGATGACTAAAGTTGTACATATAGCTTGTTATACACTTTTCATATAATTACAAACAGTAGGGATTATTAATATATAATTCTGTTGACAACTCTAATAAAATTCCTTCAGCAATATAAGTCACTTTAATAACAAAAAAAAAAAAATTTAGTTTAGAAAAAAATTAGTTTGAAATTTAAGTATTAGTTTAGAATTTTAGTATTAGTTTAGAATTTTAGTATTAGTTTAGAATTTGAGATTTAGTTTAGGATTTAAGGTTTAGGATTTAGGTAAAAAAATATAATATTTAAACTTAGCTAATACTATAACTTAAACCTAAAGGATTTAAGAAAGTTTTGGTTTCAGGACCTATCTCTAACTACTTATCATATGAAAGTTATGTAATATCTAATAATATTAATATGTAAATTTGAGTAAAGACAAATTTTAATTGAATATTATGTTTTAAATATTATCATAAACATAGTATTTTATAGAAGAAGGGTATGAATAGTAAAAGTAGAGAGTACAAATAGCAATGTTGGTATTTAAATTAATAAAGTTTTTATATATGAGAAATATGAATATATAGCATAAACAAAGATACAAATAGTATTATTCTTTTATTTTTTTTCTACTTAGGCAATCTTGCTCTTCATTTTATTAGGAGAATCATCAAAAGATAATACAGGCAATATAAAATACTACATCTCGACATAATACTTTACTACCCTCCTTGTTGCAATTTAGAACTAACTCAACTGCCCAGATAGTGTCTAAGTTCAATCTGCTGTAGAAGCATTTTATCTTCTATTAGTAACATACTATCAAAGTAGCATAGGTTACTAATAATCAAAAAAAGGCAACTTCCAGCTCATATCAAGATCCTAGGTCCCTCCTAATCTAATCTAAGACTAAACTAACTTAGTGCAATTGTAACTACTGAAAACTTATAGTACCAACCTATTAACTCAAATATATAATAAATAAATTAGTTAAAAAAGATATAAAAGTCAAATAAGACTATATACATTAATAATTTAGTAGCTTGTATTAGAAGGTTAGCATTAGTAAATGATAGTTAAATTATAATTTTTTAGAAAAAAAATAGAGTAATAAATAATAATAAATAGTCTAAAAGTAATAAATAATTTAAGAGTCATAAATAGTTTAAAAGTAATAAATAGTTTAAGTTAATAAAGAACAATAAATAAATATTTTTTATATATAATACTCTGAAGTATAATCTGTTTAATATTAATAGTATTACTTTGGAGTATTTATTCCTATTAATTATATCTTAATAATCTAAAGTAATGTTTTATCTAAAAAACTATAGAATAAAGTTTAGCAAACTTACTGAAGACAAGTTATACAAAACTTTAAATTTAATATTAAGCAATAGCTACTTTTTTAATATATATTATTTATTAAGATACTTACTAGTTTATACATTATCTCTAAATGAGATTTTTAAATTTCATGTACTATATACATATATATGTACATATATATCAATATGTATATTCCTTAATAAATACTAATATTACTTAAAAATATATATAGTTAAAATAAACAGAATAGGCTTTAAACAAATAGTAATAAAACTAAATTTTCACCTAGATGAACTATTCTTTTACTCATATTTTATCTTTTTATGTAATAATAAGCAAAAAATTTTTTTTAATATTTTTCTTAAGTAGCTCTATATATTTATCTTTTTTTGTAATACTAAATACATATTTCTATAATAATAATATGCTTCTTTTTTTTTTTTTATAAACTATAATGATGAATTACAAAAGCTATGTTTTTTGACAAATGTCAAATTAATGATTATAGAAATTATAGATGTAAAAATTTGATGACAAACAAACAAAAAAAAAGAAAAAAAAAAACTTTTACAAATATCAAATTGATGATTATGAAAAGAAAACTCAATTAGTAATAATATGATAAAAAAATTTTTTTTAAAAAAAACAACTTAAAAAAAAACAAAAAAAAAACTTAAACCAAATCACATATTCAATTTAGAAGATCAAACATTAGATATTAGAATATTAGAATATTATATCTAAAAAAACTCATAGTAATCTAGATATTGCAGATAACAGAAAGATACAAATTCTGTTATTGCAACTCATAAAGATACCAACTTTGCTAATAGTAAGAATAATGATATTAGCATTGAAGAGAATAATAGCATTGCTATTAAAGAGAATAATAGTATTATTATTGATGAGGATAATAGCTTTGCTTTTAATAGTAAAAATATAAATTTTACTTTTGATAATAGTAAGAATATAAGCTTTATTACTAATAATAATAAAAATATAAGTATTAATAATGATAGTATAAATCCTACTGCTGACTTAAATAATAGTTGTACTTCTGTTGATTATACTAGAAATGTTTCAAAAAGAGCTAGACAATACATATCTATTATATGAATTTTTTTCAAAGGAAAAAAATAATTATAATAAAGTAGTTGCAGTAGTTTGCAATATTTGTAAGCAGAAATAGAAGCCAAGTAATACAACAGGAATATTCACAATCTATCTTAATAATAAATATAAGAAAAATATTTTTTTTAAAATAGCAGATACTTTTACACTTTGTAGCTATGCCATATATACCAAAAGACACAAAATAAATAAATAAAATTAATAAAAAGGTAATTGATTTTATTGTATATTACTAATTATCCCTTTTAGTTATGAATAATAAATATTTTAAAGAAATACTTGGTGTTCTTAATTTATAATACTATATCTTCTGCTAGCAAATATTGAGTAGTAAAGTTGCAAGTCAGTTTGAAAATATATGTAAAAAAATAATAAGTTTACTTGAAAACATTAACTCAAAGATTTCTATTACATGTGATATATGGATATCTAAATCTAACTAAGTATATTTGAGAGTAACTGCATATTATGTTGATGATGATTAGAAAGTATAAAGCTTTCTTCTTAATTTAATTCACTATCTGAACTACTATTATAGAACATATATGAAAGATTTGCTTTTAACAATATTTGAGGAGTTTAAAATTATACAAAATGTCTTTAAACTTACTACTAACAATAATGTAAGCATGATTGTTGCAGGATGTGAGCTGCAAGTAGCTCTTTTATTATTAGGAAATAATGAATATATACATTATAAATGTATTGTTCATATTTTGAATATTGCAGTAAAATATAATATATAACTTGAAACTATAATTAATGAAAAAATTAAAAACTTTATAAAAAAAGTATGCTACTTCTAATTATTATATGATTCTTTATAGAATATTTGTGCTATTCAAAAAATTAAGTATTTAAAACCAGAATATGATGTAAATACATACTAGAACAGTACATTTCTAATGCTACAAAAGTTTAATAGAATAAAAGAAATATTAGACTATCTTGTTACAAAAAATAAAAGACAACTTGAAGATTTGTAGCTTAATAAAGATGAGTAGAAGTAAATAGATACAATATTAAAACTTCTTGAACTGTTATACTAAGCAACATTATTGTTATCTACTAGTTTCTATTTAACAATTAGCAATATTTATCTTGTATTTACTGAGTTTAAGCATTACCTTAATTAATATCTTTTTAGTTATAAAGAAGATAAATATTATATAGCATAATTAATAATATACAAACTAGAAGAGTATTAGAATATTATTGAACTATTAACTATATTACCTACTTTGCTTAATCTACACTCAAAATTAATAACTTTTGTAATATGTAAAATATAATTAACTACTATTAGTATATTATATGAACATATGTTAAATTATCAAGAAGTACCTTAAATCTTTTAAATATATCTACTACTAAACAAAAAAAAGATCAAAAAAACAAAATCAATACTTATTCTTTGAATCATTATTACAATGAGAAAATGTTGTACTGATAGAAAATAAATTAGAATGATATTTAGCTCTTCTACTTGTCTTAGAAAAAAACTTGCTTAAATAGTAACATAAATTTGAAAAAGAATTTCTAACATTTAGTAAAATAGCAAAAAACTATTTGTCTATACAAAGAATAAATATTCTAAGTAAGCATGTATTTTCAATTATAGCTCATACTATTTTAAAAATTAGAAATAATCTTGTTTCAGATTCAGCATATACTGTAAAGTATCTGAAAAACTAAATAACAAAAATTTGTAATGATTACTATGATTATAATAAATTATAATAAATCTTATACTATAAGTTATTTCATAAGGTAGGCTTACAACTATGTATTCTGTTAATAGAAATGCATAACTACAGATAATATTTTAAATTAATTTATTATATTTAGATTATTATATAATAATTATAAGCTTATATTTTTAGATTAGTATTTTTTATTGTTTTGTGAATTAAATTGATTCTTTTTGATAGATTAGATAATGTTCAAAAAATAGTGAAGGATTTTAATATTTTTTAGATAGATTTTTTTGAGAATAGTTTATTGAATACATACAGACACAACTATTAAGTATAATTGCACTAATTTATAGAATTATAAATTGTTTAAGTATATATTAAATGTACTAAGATATCATGAAATAGCCTAATAAACTGTAGATATTGCTTAAAGATAACTTTGTATCAGATATTAAGGATATACTTACTATTATTAAACTCATTATAGCTTTCTTAGAGTTATTATTTTGCATTTTTAACAGATCATAAGATCGATTTTTCTATTTAAGTAAATAGAGCCTAAAATTAAGTAGCCTTTAATTAGATTTTTTATGATTACAAATTCTAATAATCAAATAGCCTTAACAAAAACAAGTTTTTGGTATAATATAAATTGAATATATGGTATTAAACATGCATCTATCCTAATATGTTTAATTATTTCCAATAATTTTGTTTCATTTATCATTATATTAATCAATTTAAAATTAACTTAAATTGCCTTTATATTTCAAATCTAAGTATATAGATTCTAAATATAAAGTAATTCCATTCTGATATATAAAAGATACTAGATCAAAGGTTTATAAAGACTCATGCAAAGAGCTTCGAATAGATATCATCTTAAAAGATATTTTATAACATATAAGTATCACAATTATAATATATTACTGATAAATTATTGAGTTTAACAATGATGCAGATCAGAATTTCAATTATACAACATAATACATAAAAAATTGATCATGTTGCTAAACTCAGTAATATACAATAATTGCTGAAATGCCCTTTTTTCTTGGCAGCACTCATATGAATTTGCTTATTACTAAATATACTTAGAGCTGTAAAACTACTTTTTTATAAATTTTTTATATTTTTTAAGTTACCTCTAAGAGAGCCTATAACAGTTATTCTTCATTCTAAAATCTTGAATTATTGTTGTTTTAGAAGGTATGAGAACAGCTATAATATATAAGTTATAATAGTACTCCGAGTTATACTCTGAATTATACTCCAGGCTATGCTTCAAAGTATACTCTAGTTTAATACTCTGAGTTATATTTTACTTAATACTCCAAAGTAACACTATGAAATTCGTTTTATAGAAGTATACTCTAGTGTGGTGTAGTATTAAGAATACTCTGCCAGAGTATACACTACACCACCCTAGAGCATTCTATTAACAACTCTAGGTGAATCGTATTTTGTACGTAGTGTTAGTCATTGTTGTTATTTTATATGATGAATAACATAGTAATTCCCTTATTTTATTATTAATTAAAAGTATAATTTGTAAAATTGATTTTTTTTAATTAAACCAATAAAATATTTATTAATTTAAAAAATTTTTTATTAATACGTATACTGTATATATACTTATTGTATAAATTAAATATAATAATTAGCGTTAGCATTTCAAATTTTGATACTTTATTAAAAAATTCTTTGTTCTTATTATTTAATACTTTTACAATTATGCATAGTGTCAAGTGCACCCTTCCATAAATGCAACTTCCATAAATGCATATTTACGTATCAGTTCACCAGCCATTTTATGAAATAAAAATTGGGCTAGCACTAACTCTAAATTAACCCTAAATCAGGCTAATACAGTATGTTGGTGAATGATTTTCGGAGAATTGTCTGCAAAGCCTTAACATTAATTAATTAATAAAATGATGTACATTTTCGAAAATTTACCTATATTCCTATAAGAAAATGCACTTATATAATACTGCTACGTAGTAATTTAATAGAAACATAGATATGATGTCGAGCCATTTTGACTTAATGTCATATGAAGAAATGTAAAAATGTAAAAAATGACAATGTAAAGTTTTTGTAGATGCGATGTCCTTATTTATTCCCAGAATCTCAACTGTAATTGCATCCAAGTAAATTGACCTGTAATTTTGCTTTATAAATACTATGCAACAAAATAATAGACCGTTTTAAAAACATGAATTTTTTTTTTTTGTCAATATGAGCTATATTTCTATTTTTGAAAGGGATTAAGTGAAATTATAATAATGATTATTTCTGAATCACAGAGTCATCCACTCCTTCAATCGATTGCTGTTTCTGATTTTTTAAAGCAAAGACTTCAACACCGTTTTGAATTAATGAATAATTAGTAATCCAAGATATAAAAAACTTCTGACACCACTGATTATTAAGAGAATAATATCGTTCGGTATTGGAATGCTGTTTTCTTGGTTATCAACAAAATAAATATAGCTGCATTTAGCAAAAAATTATTAAATAAAATTGAAAATTGGCTAGTTATTATGTCATGCAGAATGGATATATACCTTTTGATAGTTTCTCGAGATCCATGGTAAACGCATTATTCACTACTATACTTAATGATTGTTTTTGATTATTTCACTTTAAGCCAATAAAGACGATAACAATTTTACAAACTATGAGCATGCATTAAAAAAAAAAATTAACACTTTTTAGTAAGTATAAAAATATTAAAATGTGAATTCATATATAGAATATACAATTGCCTAGTATTTAATCAAGCTTTTATTACAGGCTACAAATCCTAGCTAGTGACTTTTGGGCATCTCCTTTTGAGAAAAAGAAGAGCTTAGAAAAGAAGCAAAATTTGTTATAGCAGGTCGAACATAGGTATCTTAAATGACAACCGGGTTAGTCACACTTTAAAGATTAAATTAGCATTATATAGCTTAGAGAATAGTAAAGAATATATAGATTTATACTTTAATTTTTCTTAATAAATCAAAAGTTGTGGCATGACTGCCGAAAAAAAAAAAAAAAAAATCAAGCTTTTATTTGTGCTCGTTTTTCATTAAATTTGTTTTTTCATCATGTTTGTCTCTAAGTTTTTTCACATTCAGTTCCTTGTTTTAAAAAATTATGTTGTCGTTTTCGTGTCGCATTTTCAATTTCCCCGCTAGTTTAATAATAATAATAGATTAGATTCATAATTTAGGAATAACTTTCAGGAAGTGCAACTTACGTTTTTTACCACAAATACCACAACTGCATTCTCAGCTTCAAAAAAGATTGACGTTAGAGAAAGATTTACTATTTCCTTCTCATCCTGGGGAATGAAAAAAAAACATGAAAAATAATATGGGTTTTATTTGCATCTCTGCATTTTCGAGCGAAATATAAGCTTATACCACGCAGCTTTAAAAATAATCATCGAATAAATAATTTAACTACCTATATTGATCACTTACTATACCTTTCTAAAACCTACCATACCCCTATATATATATACTTACTAGACCCTGCTTGTTTACCACCCATGGGAAAAAATACGCGTTCTACGCGTACCTTGTACAACCCTTAAAATGTTATACTATAATTCACCCTGATACCGTATCGTGTGGCTTAATATTGATATTCACTTGTATTATACAGTAATAAACAGATATAGTCAATCAAAGATGCTAAACCCAGAGTTAAATATAGAGATGACGTGCATAGCAAACTCGGAGTAACTCACAAATGGATAATTGATGGTGTTTCGGTATGCTGATAACGGAAGTTTTCATAAATATTTAATAAGAAACATTGAAATTACTTAAAGATATTTCATATGAATTATCTGATTATGCAAAGCTGACCTTCACGGTGGCAATATAAGATCAATGCACATAATGAAAGTGATTTAATACCAAACTTGCAGCTGAGATTAATCGTGGATTACAGTCAGAATTTTCTTATAGAGTTCCTGAATATTATATTGAGTTAGCTAAGTAATTAAATTTATTGCGTATATTTATAAAATAATTAGACTACTTAACAAAAATAGAATTCTTATATGATTATTCGTTACAGCGCGTTTGTGAAATTTAGCTAATACTTTGTCACAAAATTTAATTAACTAGACACAAATTTATTAGTACTGTAATTATCAAAATTAAACCTAGAAAAAAAATTTTTTTTTGCTCTCCGATCTATAATAACAATATGTCAAACCAATTTTTCCACCATCTCAACCCATTTTAAATTGCGATCAAAACCCATTTTAAATTTCTGTAATTGCGATCACAACCCATTTTAAATTTCTGTAATTGCGATTACTTAAAATATAGTATATCATAGTTTAAATCGAAAAGATAATATCATTCACTAACGATAATACTATTCTAATAAATTACATAGATCTAAAGTCTACTCACTATTAGTAGTCAAACTTTTTAAATTTGGGGTATTTTACAAACGCGCCGTAATAACTATCTCTTAATTTGTAGTGTTTTCCAAGCTATAATTGTTAACATATCCCTCTACAATTGATTCAACCTAGCCAATCAGATGAAGGTTTGTTTTCAAATAATAATTAATCCGAGTTAACGAAACGGATCTTATACGGGTTACCCGGGTGACTCTTATACAGGTACAATATCTACCTAGAGACATTGCTGATGAGTTACCTTGTATTCACAAATACGCAAAGCATATTCACAATGGTAATATCCTGCAATATCCAATGCACTAATCAATCTTATATCGCAGATTAGGGATGTCTAGAAAGGAGGATGAAATTGTTTCAAAAGACGATATTTATGGAGTCATGCCTATGTTGTTTCAGAAGTTTTGATAGGCAATGCATTTACACAAGTTGATATTTATGGCTTTGGTGTTATAATGACAGAAATATCAACCGGGCAAAGGCCTTTTGATGGACATGACTTTAATAAGACTAAACTTGGAATAGAGATTTGTAAATGATTTCGGAATTTGCACCTGAAACTCCCAATTGCTATGTTGAATTGGCAAAGCATTATATTGATTCCAATCCACCAATTTTAAGAAGATTTGTTACATAATTAAAGGTTGGCGTGAGAAAATAGCGGATTCAGATGAAGAAAATGAAATCAAAAGAAATTTTTAGATGCTGACAAAATTATTACAAAATCACAACATCCCATCATATGTACACTAGCAAAATTATCAGCACAAAAATAATTTCAAATGCGATTAAAGGTATTGGGGTTTCAAAATTAATTATTCGACATCTGATTTCAGACGAAATAATCGGTATTTATTTCGAATTGAGACATCTACGAATCTTATTTTCCAAAGCGGTTGATTCTAATAGTGACGTAAAATTTCATGGAATTTCTCAGGATACCCAAACAGGTAGTTATTTAATGGTTATGAATTATGTTGAAAGTGGTGATTTAGGATAATACTCGCAGAATAATTATGGCAAACTGTAGTATCCTGATTTGTTGAACTTTATATCCGGATTATCCGGATAATACTAGATAACGGATAACAATTACGTTCAACAGATAGTTTATTCGGATAATCTATTTATAATAACGAAATTATCAGCCACGAACGTTCGTCAATTATTGTCTGCTTCGCATTCAATAACTTATAATTCCTATCAAATTGTCATTGGTGAACTAACATAATGCACATTTTTCGAATGCGGAAAAACAATGAAATTGATTCTGCTATGCAGATAGGAATGGCAAATCACGTAATTGTTGTTCTGGTCAGGAATTAAGTTAAGTGGCAGTTAATAGATTAAAAAAAATCAGATGATTAACAAGTTCTTTCGTTACAGATTCTTTCAATTTAACATACCAGCGAAGAATCAGAAGAAATCACAAAAAGTAGATTCAAGTAGGCATATAATAATAATTTAGATAAATTACTCGGGTAATAGAATATGTAATGTAATTCAAACACTATATGGTATAGACCCGGATATAATACAGATAATTCGAATAAGTTATCCGGATAATAGAATTATGAACAGATATATATATCGGATAATGTGTTGATTCAACAGACAATTATCTTTAAATAATTAGATTATCGGGATCCGAACACTATCAAACTGAAATTTAAAAATAGACTTCATCTACTGAGAGATCATCGTGGGGTTTAACAAAGTTTATAAATTTCATATTAGGACGTTCCTATTTACCTTTCTAATTTCAGAATTTGAAAACAATTTTAAGATTTTTTAAACTCTTACTTATTTTCAAAATAAGTTATTTTTGAAACACCTTATTAATTTTTGGTTTATATATTTAATAATAATATTATTTGTTATTCTAGTTGATTCTGTTCAAGTTACTGGAGCTTTAAAACAGATGGTTAGTAAAGTATTACTGTACGATTGTACAAATATGTACGGACGTACGAAAATTGAACAAAATTTTGATAGATTCGACTCGTTTTTTTTTTAACATTAAATAATTGAAAATTTTTTATTTGATTGTAAATTTTTGAAAATTTATTAATAAAATTGATAGAATAGTTATTACAATTCGAGAATACAATTAAAATAATTTATAAAAGTGATTTAAGAATTATAATTGAATAGATTTATAATTTCTTCGTAAAACAATTATATTACTATTTGTATAATTAATATAATTGTCATCATTACTATTATTATTATTTCTTCTTCTCAAATTTCGAAGATGAAAAAGAGAACTGAACCGTAAGGCCAAAGCATCTGAGAAAAGAGGACGAAAAGAATACTGATGATGACAATGACGGTAAGACATTTTCTAAAAAGAATAAATAAATAAAAAGGGCAAAAGGGGGGTTAGCAATTTTTACTTAGATAAACCGAAACCTAGCCAATGCTTCATAATTATTGCTATCTCGAGCTAACAAAAACTACTTCTAATTTTCAACTAGGTAACCCGCAAGTAAAGAGCAAAGCAACGAGGAGAGATCCGATGAATCCAAACTTACCAAAGGAAAAGAAAACAAAAGGAAAAATATTGAATATTGATCTAAAAAAAAACAGAGCAAAATTAGATCATTTTTATAGAAAAATTTATGACGCCAAAACGCGAAATGAATCAGATCAAAGTAGAGAAAAATCACAAAATAATCAATCAAATTAGGATACAAAAATACGCGCTGAAAGAATGATTTACATTGTCCATTTTTGAACGCGAAATGAATCGATCAAAAAATTTTTAATAAACAGTGTTGGGCTGACCAGACCAATTCGACCATTTGACCAATTACCAGTCCGGTCAAGCATCTTTGATATTGGTCAAGTTGGTCAAATGGTCTAGTTATATGAACAAATAGACCAATCAGACCAATTTGACTATAATCAAATTTGCTTGATTGGTCTGATTTATTAATTTGGTTCATATTGTTAGACCATTTGACCAATTTGACCAGACCAGTTTGACCAGAAACCCTTTGATCAATGACCAGCAAATTTATAGTCGACCACTAATTTGACCAACACTGAAAATAAACAATCAACCCATTTTTGGTGGTCGTCTATAATCACGTGAATTAACCAATCAAATAACGAATTTTGTGTTGACCCGGCGAAGCAAAAAAAAAATGAAAAACGCAAAAAATACAAAAATCGCCTATCTAAACCTGTCTTGATGCAATAATAAAAAAATGTCTGAAAGGTAATTTTACCTATATACCTGCTATCCCTAACCCTAACCTTAAAGTTAATAATAATTTTATCGATTTTGTGTAACCCCGCTTTAGACGTCCCCCATTGGTAAAATCCCTGACTGAAATTAGATAACGATAATGTTAAGTAATATTAAATACGTAAGAATACATAATAAATTTGCTAAAATTTCTTTAATCGCTTAATTCAGCTGGCATTAAGATATCCTTGGCCCATGATCAACATAATTCGGCCCGGAATTATGGAACAACTTAATGTGATGCTATTAAAACAAAATTATACAAAAAAAAGGAGTTAAATAGTTATTTTGAATAATTTTATTAAATAAGACATTATTATCTTTAAATAATTCTTTACCAAAATTTATCAAATAATCTTTAATCAAAGTATTTATAAATAAAAATTAGTATATATACAACTTATATCTAATACTATATTTAGGTAAGTTCATATTAGAAAAATACTATTAAAGTGATAACTTAAACTCTACTAAATTAGAATTAGCTATGAGGTTATGAATATCTATACTAATTTACTAATTTGAAAATTATTTATAAGGAGTATAGGAGATACAGTGAATATAGAATAGTAGTCTTACAAGAGATAAAGTACTTATAGAAATCTAAGTAATAAATAGTATAAGCTATAGACTACTCTAGTAGGTTTAGTATGAGAATAGATAGTATATATATTTAGTACTATATGTCCTAAGCTTAAATAAGAATATATAGAATTAGTTTGAAATTATACTATGTATATTAGTTGTAATAAATAATATAATTCTTAATAAATAAAAATTAAGCTAAGTACTCACTTTAATAGTAAAAAAAAAAACTTATCTATATTGCTATCGATACTTTGTATAGATGACAAATACAAAAACTAAATAAAATAATAAAAACTATAACAAATATACTATATAAAAACTAAATCAAATAATAAAACTAAAAATAAAATAAAATAAAAATATAATAATAGAAAATTATAAGTATGATATCATCTTTTTTTTAAAGATAAGCTTCTGTGAATTATAATTTCTTAGAAATAAAAAGATTTTTAAATTCTGTTATTAATATTCTATATACTTTCTGCATAAGTAATTTAAAGTCAAACTCATATATTCAAGCTAACACTTTATAGCTAATATATTTTGCTTAAAAAATATTCTAAATTTCTTAAGTATTATATAATTCAAAAATTCATTAAGCAACTTTAAAGACTTCTTTTACTTTTTAGATATCTAACTCTTACAAAATAAATTTGTTAAATAATTATTTCATTTGTCTATACAAAGAAGTTTATCTAGATAATAACAATATTTTAACTATATATAGATTTGTCTATTATTATTCTTAAAGAGTTTGATTTTCTATATATAGATTTAATCTTTTTCTTTTTATTTTTTATTATTTTTTTTTTTTTAAGCAAAGCTAAAGTAAGGTAATATTTCTATCTTTATTAATAGTTTAATTAAAAAATTTACAATAAAAATTTTTGTATATTTATACAAAAAAAAAAACTCTCTCTGCTGATCACCTAAACTATTACAGAGCAAATTTGTTAAATACAAAATAATTTATAACTCTAGGAAACCTAACAAAATAGTAGTTATTAAATACATAACATCTAACATATTTATATTATTTTAGTATAGATCAGATCATTTTGACCATTTCTGGAGCTAAAGGAAAAACAGAAATAAGTCAAAATCTAGACTAAGAAACAGTGGTAGAGAGACTAATTAAAAAGAAAAATAACCAGAAACTACACATATTATATTAGAAGAACAAGAAAAAGTTTTTTTCTTATTTTAAGAATAAAACAAGAAGTAAAGAAATTTCAGAAGAAAATTCAAAAATTTTGTTGAATTTTTGGGGATTTGTTGTTACTTGGAATCGCAGATCAAATTGTGTTACACAATCACGTGAAAATTGGGTAAACAAACAAACACGTGATCGAAATTGCTAGAATGTGACACGAAACTAACCAATAGAAAAGAAGTATACAAGACGAGAACCGGAATTTTCACAGGTAATCTGGAAAAAATACAGGGAATTGGTGAAAAAAGATGAAGTCACTTCAATATAGAAAATAGAGAGGTAGTTAAAGAAGAAAACAAAAACAAGATAGATAATAAAGATAAAGATATAGAATACAGAAAGCTCAAAGTACTTCATTAGGAAGATAACGAAAGAATATGGAAGAGAAATAATTCAGGAAGGGAGTACCTCAGTACTAGGTCTTGCAGATCACTTCGATGGGATGGTAGCAAAAGCAATAAACATAGATAAAGAGATTATCACTTTAGCAAGGCAATGGCATACAGCACTAGAAAGAGCTGCCTTTACAGAAGGAATAGATAAAGTTCAATTAGTACTAGATAGAGAACAAAATACAAGGAATACGCAACAAGAAACAGTAAATGAGGCAATAAATGAGGTAGAAATGCGAATAGAAACACCCTTACCAGCAGAAACAAGAATCATCACACAAGTAGAAGCTTCAAAAGACTTAACACAATCCATACCTTCTCAAAATGAAAATAACGATATACCAAAAGGTGTAAAAGCAAATGAGATAGCAGAAACTATGGAAGATATTCAGCTAGTAGAAAGTAGTATAGAAATCTGCCCATTAAAAGACGAAATAGAAGAACGATTAGAAAGATTAGTTGAAGTAGGAAAATCAAAATGTGGTAGCACATCACTAGAATGTAGCTTATGGGCACCGAAACCAGAATCATGCAAAGACAAAGGAGAAGTTAAG